AGCCTTTTTGGCCAGGGTGAAGGGAGTATCTGCCATCAAACAAGAAGACAGCCGCATGTAGCTATGATGATGTTTGCTAGTTCACCTTACATGCATTAATGTAATAACGTGGTTAGCCTACTCAACGTAAATTACACACGAACAACATTAAGCTACTCACGCAGAGAAGAACGGCTGCTGCTGCATCATCATCCTCATCATTTCTGCTACACTGGCAGGGCTAGGGGCCAGGACTCTCCTCTTCGGGTTTTTGGGGGATGTTGCTAACTCCGGGTCTGATAACAGGCACCACACCCGCAGTAGATGTGCTCGGTGTGAGGTCTCGCACTCTCTTTATTGTTTTTATGTTCAGTTTCAACTGTTACGAAGTTGATGTGCAGTTAATAAGTGCAATAAATATTTATACTGGAAAAGAAAATCGTGAGAGAATCGTGATCTCAATACTAAGCCAAAAAAATCGTGATTCTCATTTTATGCAAAATCGTGCAGCCCTAGTTTCCAGCCATCCAACCTCTAATGGAGTCTATGCACTTACGCAAAATCTGTAGCTTGGAAACATCATGGGGCTTAAAGGAGATATATAACTGAATATCACCTGCATAGCAGTGATACAAAATGTCCTTAAAAGTGCTCAATAAGTGTTGAAGAGGAAGTAAATACAGTAAGAGCAATAAAGGCCCCAAAACTGAACCTTGTGGCACACCATAGGCAAGAAAAGTGTACTTAGAGGTAGCCACAGAAAAGGATCGTTCATGCAAATAGGATTCAAACCAGTCCAAAGCAGCCCGATATACCCACCCAGTGTCTCAGCCGATCTAGCAGAATATGATGGTCCACAGTATCAAAGGCGGAGGTCAGGTCCAACATCAACAGAACGGAGCATTCTCCTGCATCACATCTCATCAAAATGTCGTTGGAGACTCTAAGAAGTGTAGTTTCAGTAGAGTGAGCTCTACAAAAGCCAGATTGGAATTTATCCAGAATGCTGCATTCATCTAGAACAGCTATAAGCTGCTTAGCCACAACCTTTTCTAAAATCTTAGAAATGAACGGTAATTTTGAAATCGGTCTTTAGCTACTAAGAAGAGAAGCATCAAGCTTAGGGTTTTTAACAGTGGGTGAATGACAGCATTCTTACAATAAACAGGGACCTGACCAGAAACCAGTGAGGTATTGATAATTGTGAGCACACAGGGACCAATAGACTGAAAGACATTTTTAAACAAAGATCCAGGTAAAATATCAAGAGAGCAGGAGGACGCTTTCATTGAATTAACTAACTTGACCAGCTCAGGTAAGCACACAGGTAAAAATCTTTCTAAAATTACAGGCCTAGCTTGAGTTGGAGCAGACAAGAGAGACACAGAAGGAGAGATATTGTTCCTCACGTTACTGACTTTTTCAACGAAGAAAGAAAGAAATTTTTCACAATCTTCATTTGATGAAATTGGGACAGCAGGTGGAGCAGGAGCAACAATATCACTAATGGTGTCGAATAGTACCCTCTGCTCTTAGACACTAAGTCTGAGAAATAGGACGCCCTCGCATCTCGAACTGAAGTGTTAAAAGAGACTAAAAGGTCCTTTAAATGAAGGAGATGGACATGCAAACGCGTTTTCCTCCATAAACGCTCAACCTTACGGCAGCAACGCTTTAAGAAGCGAATGCTGTCATTTAACCAGGGAGACGACTTTGAAACCGGAGCTAGTCTAACTTTGACAGGACAAACATTGTCTAAAATACAAAGACAATGATTATTAAAAAGATTTGTTAAAAAATGAACATCGTTATAAGGAGATAAAACTAAATTAAAGGCATCGGAAAATTTAACAGCAGTAGAGGAATTTAAGATGCGCGAGCTAACCACGTGTCGAATAGGAGAGCGGGACAGATGAAAAGACAGGTTAAAAAGAAAACAACGATGGTCCGAAATAAAATGTCCTCAGTACAAATAAAATCAATGTTTAAACCTAAAGTAAAAACAAGGTCCAGTGTGTGTCCTTTGGTGTGTGTGGGACCAGACACATGCTGAGTAAAATGAAAAGAATCCATGACGCTGAGGAAACCTCTGGCAAAGAGGTCGGAGTCATCATCAACGCGTATATTAAAATCCCAGACTATAACCAGTCTGGACAGCTTCGAAGTCGAGGATAAAAAGTCACTGAACTCCTTTAAAAACATACCGTTTAGGCCAGGTGGACGATGCACTACAGCGCAGTAGAACAGTCGCTCCTTATACTGTAGATTTTTCTATAAGAAGACAATCTGACTTAGTTGAAAGTCAGGTTAAGCAAGACCTACTTAGAGTTTACAGAAGTCTTCAGGAAGAGGTTCTTATCCATGTCTGTGTGTGATTTTTAAGACATGCAGATAACACAGTAACTATTATCTCAATGAGTATAAAATGGAATTACTACTGTTTAAAGATCAAATTGGTTGCTGGGAAAGGATAAGACCTGTTACATCATGCTTTCATTTTACTGCGATGTTTTCAGTTCCTTTTAACCTGCAGTAGTTTTGAGGACTAATTATTTTGTGCGTCCTAATTTCCATCCGTGGCAGCACTTTGTACACTAAAAATAAATAATAGGATGCAGTTTCATGCACCTCCTGCTATTGAATAATGCGCTGGGCTTGCTCTGTCAGGATGTCAGTGGGTGGGGAGACATTGTGGAATAAAATATAGGTCAGCTTTTCTCCAACAGAAGATTTATGTGTTGCTCATGAACGTAGTCACTGCTGCAGTCCCAAAGTGGAGCCACAGGTCTTACAGAAGAAGGCTTAATGGCGTCTGAAATCCTTCAATTGTTTCCGCTTCCACTGACACCAATTGACATTGTCATAGCTGTGAGTGTTGCCACGGCCCACAATATCTTTTACTTTATTCAAACACTTGCAAAGGCAGAGGGAGCAGTACAGAAACACTGTTTTAATGCTAGCATGGAGAAACTTGAACAAAGTTCATAAAAACAAAAAAGAAAACCAGAGTGAAAACAGCTCAAGGAAAGAGGGCAGCAGAGTTGTTCGATACTTCGCGACCCTTGAGCCCTCACTGCTGAATTGCACCTGCCTTCCTCCCACCCTGTTGACAGCATTTAGCACCATGACAAGTATCATTTTGAGCTAAAAAGCTTCTGCTGTGGACGTAACCTCACAGCTTAGACGGTTTGGGAGTGAGACCGGAACTCTTTCTCAAAATGCAAAGTGACAGTTGAACTGGAAACGAACCCATGCTAACACAATTATTAGCATATCAGTAGAATAGAGTAGTTAGGTTTGTGGTTGAAACCTCAAACTGTTCCTGTGTGAAGTTTGCCTGCTCTCCCTGATGACCTGACTGGAAAGCAGTAGGAAATCTCCCAGTTCAATTATAACTCGCTTCAGTGACAGTGAAAGTTATAGTTTAGAATAGTTTCACTCAAATCCTGATGAGGAAGATGGGGTCATTAATTGCACCATCGGTTAATGTTGTGGGATAGAATTAAAATTCACCCCTCAAACTGCGGAGCTGGTCTTATACTCTGACAGTGCTCTCGCTGTCAGCCAAGGGCTCAGTCACGCAGGCCTAGAGACTGGTTAACCACCACCTGGTAATCTGACTGCAAGTGAAAAAAAATGCAAAAAAAATCCCTTACAGATTTCAGAATAATATTCTTCAACACAAAAACGCTGCAGAGAAGAACGGAACATGATCAAGAAATGCCAAAACCAACCCCGGACTGTTCCAAATGGAAAGACATTCAATTTCATAGAAACCATCTATGTCCACTGTGAACGACCATCTTTGAACAGAGGCGCTGGCTTACGACACCAACTGTGTCTCTATAATCCAGTTTTGAGATCATTTCCCAGACGCCTTAATGCCCACTCACACCCTGGGCCTTCTGACTTCAGGAAATCACATGATGGGGTGCGGCTAGGTTTCACAGTGAGCTCACCCGAAACCCTGGCTGACTGTGACCTACACCTATTTTCACACCTTGACTTGTGCGATAAGGTAGAGGATCAACGGGGGGTTTATGACCCTCTTGGGGAGACACTCCACCATTTGACCCTAAAACTGAAAGCTTCTCAGATAAGAGGTGAAACGTCTTCAAGTAACTTCAAGAAGTTCAGATGCCTTTTTTTCCAAGCTCCTTAGACTACGATCACCTGCATGACTGAGAACCTTCACAGACTAAACAGTGAGACTTAAATCACATCTGATGTACATCAGACTAGAGTCTGTAAGGGCAAGATGGTCTAACATGGTGTCAAGACTACATGCATACATCGTATATACACACGAGATTCTAGCGATCTCTATCTTGAGACAAGTCAGGGCAGTTTCACACTAATCAGACACCCAGCATCCCTACCTCTGCCGGGATGTTCCAGACAAGTCTCTGAGGTTGGGGTAGAGAAGGCTCCACATCACCTTTACAGTGGCCGTCCTCAGTGTAGCCTAGCTGGAAGGCATCTGTGGCCAGCGTGTACTGGAGGAAAAAATAATAGTGAAGGAAAAGATTATTGAGACTTAGTATGAGAGTTAGCACAGCCAAACTTGCAAAAATGTACCCTATTATAAAAGGGGGAAAAAGTTTTTGTTTTTTTTAATGGACGACACAAAAATAGAAGAGAGATGATGAGTGCTTGAAAACTCAGCATAAGCATTTTTTTAAGTTGCTGCTAATGCACTTGATTAACTGATTATCTACAATTGTTAACATTAAATGTTACATTTCATGACAGCCCAATTACAAAAAGACGGAACTAATGTGGCTTTTTTGGAAAAGTTGCCAGGAGGAAGTCTGTTCTCTCTAAAGAGCAGAGTTAGGTTTGCAACACTGCATCAAACAAACCACAAAATCTGTGACAAGCTGGACTTAAGCCAGAATCAACAGCGCAACACTTGGAAACCTTTTATAGACAGGAAACTACAGAAAGTCTAGAGTTTTTGGATTTTCAGACTAAACCAGATAACAATGGTAAGACCCTTGTGCATAATTCAGGCTAGCTGGCAACATCAAAGCTTAACAAATGAACTCAAGGATCGAATATTTCTTTATCACTGGCCAAAAGAAGAAACTACTTAAAGTAGAATATTTAAAATGAGCTCAGACAAACATGATGCATTCATGTGTATGTGATATACACATGAATGCACTCTATTCTTTTCAGCTGCCCGGATCATTGGCTGCAGCTAACCCTCTCTATTCCAGCACACCAACCGTCTGCACGTCCTCCTTTCACTACATCCATGAAGCTCCTCTGAGGTCCTCCTCTTCTCCTCCTGACTGGCAGCTCCATATTTAACATCCTATATTCAATGTTCCCTCTAATTTTTCACGTGTGTGAGCGAACACACAAACTCCCTGAGCGTCCCTTGGACCACTGTGAGCGACAGCAGACGTGTGCACTGTGGTCACGCCAGCATCGAATCCATCCAAGTAACATGTTTTATTCAAATAATCAAATTACAGCATTTACATTTATGTTAGACGACTTTTAATTAACTGCTTTAGCCCACTTACAAATCTTCTTCATGACCTGTGTAGCATGTTAACACTATTGGAAGTAAAAATTACTTGAACTCCAATTTTGAAAACATTACCTAAAAATGCAGCCAAGGCGTTTTTTTAAATAAACATTTCAAACTATTTACAGAACAATCAGCTGTTCTGCATCAGGTCTGATGCCACACAAATCATTTGTGCCGCTCCAAAAAATCATTCCTGTCCACTATGAGATGAAGGAGAACAACAGCCTGATACCTGCAGGCCTGACAGCAGCAGATGTGTCACTGCTGTAACACCTGTAACACTCAGCAGGCGCCTCATTGTTCTGACACACACAACATTATTGACTACACTACACACTAACTACACGCTAACTACACGCTAACTACACACTAACGACACGCTAACTACACAAGATTTGTGCTAAACGTCACAAATCTGTTACATCTCAAAACACTGCCGTCACTCCTAAAACTTCCCCCTCCCTAAACAACATGTTGCCATATCATTTTTTGATTGGTCAACATGGTACATTTTTCCACCAATAGGAAAGGCTGTGGGCTTTTTGTTTTTGTTTTTGTTCACAGGCTTTCCTGCGTTTTCCTTATAAAACGCCGTTTTTACCGTTTCTTCCCGCAGTAAATATAAACAACGACAGTATTCAGGAAGAAAACCAAACATTGCAGATATTTTATCATAACTCTGGTTTTACGTGGCCGATCAACACAGTTTAAAAACTGCTATAAAGTCCACACTTTCTCCGTCAGTTGTTCCGTCTGCCCTGCTCACATCTCCAATGGTTGTACACGTTGTCATTAACGTGGCTTCACTCCACATCAGCCGCTTTGCTAAAACACTGGTGTCGGCACATAAGGACGCTGTCATAGCCGGTCAACCACGCTGATTAGCTGCGTATATGCGAATGTGAATCACATCATTGGCTGCACTATGGGATAAGGTGGCATCGTTCTGATCCCATACAGGAGCAGTCACTCACTGACTAACACTGCAAAACAGGATTTTTAAAGTTTTAACTTTAATTTCAGTTCAGGTTAGATTTTTTTTTGTGCGCAGAGAGCGTGCCAGCACTGCGCAATCAGAGGGTAGCTTAGAGGGAACATTGCTTATATCTGATATATCCACCATCTCTCCCCTGCACATGTCCAAAGCATCTCAGCCTTTCCTCCAAAATGCTCGACCCAAGCGGTTCCTCTGACGTACTCATTTCTAAATCTGTCCAATGAAAATTCCTCTTTTGGCACCCCATCATACGCTTTCTCAGTGCAGCTCCTTCTGACATTCTCCACCATCCACCATCAAACGTGCAGTTTAAGGTGCTCTTTCTCAGCGTGAAACCATACTGCTGCCTAAAGATTATCTCTGCTCTCCTCTCTTCTTAACCCAGGGTTAGAAATATTCATTCTTAAACATCATCATGTAACTGAAACACAGATTTCTGCAGTCTTAGTAGTTTTGCTTCTTATATCAAGTCAAATTAACAAATGCTGCTAATATTATCAGATAGCATGTTTTAGTCTTGCTTTTATCTCACTGTGGTAAAAATGGTGGGTGTTGAAGGCCATTAGTTCAAGTCTGATTGTGTCCCTGTAAGTGTCACTTCCTCTTTGCTGTGCTTTCTAAGATATTACTGTAACACAATCAGATTCTTTTAACACAGCCAGTTCCTGGAACTGGCTCCATCTGGAACTTTCAACTTGCAGCTGTGCTATCCCTGTGTGATAAATGCATGTCAGCACAAATTCAGAAATAAGACCAAGGATCACCTCCCAAAGGTGCGCTACAGTTGGTGCATCAGCCCAGGAGTGCTCTGCATTCAGCCCACTCTTCCCATTCTTGTAGATCACAACGGAGAAGGATTTATCAAACCACCTGGGAGAGGAGAGAAGATAAAGCACAAAAGGAGATGCGTGTTGCCACAGCTTGTGTAAAGGACACCCAAGTCGAGTCGCAGATGCAGAAATAAGAATCCTGGCTTTAGACCAGACAAAACAGATTGGAACAGGGCAGGTCTATAACCAGTGTCACAACAATTCTTAAAACGCATTTAGTTTAGACGACTACCCTGTGAGACAAACCGCTCCACGCACCATCCCCCACACAGAAAGCTTTAAATCTGTCAATCCTTTCTGTCAAGGTTTCCTGTGTGGAGTCCAAATCAGCCTCAGGTGTCTGTTTGGTGTCTGTAGCTGAATTTCAATGAAGAAAGTAAAGGATTAAATAAAGGATTCATCACAATCCTTTATTTTTACATGTCTGATAGTGGTTTTTGTCACCATCACAAACCAAAGGAGAATCCTTGGCAGCCTGAGGCCTGTGAGAAGTGGAGTAATCACAGACATGTTGCTGCGGAGGAATGTTTCTGTGACCTCAGTCCTGAACTCCTAGTAATGCATATTTATTCTCCAGAGATTATTACTGTTAGCATCACAAGTTTTTTGCCAGGTGTGACTCACTGAGCAGCTGAAATCACGTTACACTGTTTTGAAAGAAAGATGACTAGATACACATAGCAGCTGACAGCATCTGTCATAAGACAACAAAAGCTAAACATTAGAAACTGATTACTAGGGCTGGGCCATATCATACCGTTCACGGTAATACCGGTGTAATGTCGGGCAACGATAGGAAAATGAAATATGGCGATAGACTATGGGTAAAACGCGCACGCACAGTGCCTTTGTTTACATACGTACATGGCGGCGACGCAGAACGAGAAGAGCGAAAGCGGATCGTTGAATGAAACGGATGAACCAGAGTTGGTTTGTAAAAATGCTGCAACTTCAGTGGTGTGGAACTGGTTCAGCTTTCCCCCGTCAGATACACAACAAAGCGCTATTTTTGGTAGAGCATGCTAGCGGGCCGTCGTTATTACCGTGTTGTTTGGAAAATACAGCACACTTAAAATCAATCCTTTGAGTTCTCTGAAAATCGACAGAGCCCCTTATAACCCCGTGTGCCTTATGTATGAACTCTGGTTGTGTTTACTGACCTCGAAACGATTTCATGTACACGGCGCTCGAAAATCTGTCAAATGTTTGCTAAGCTACGAAGCCGCACCGCTTGATGGATTGTGGGAGCATTACGGCTATCGTAGGCGGAGCCTCGCGGAGTGATACGTACTGTGCTTCAACATAATATTACCGTATTGTGTGTGTATAAGCTCTTTTTAAGTTTTGTGGATATTTTACATGGTTATGCTGAGGATATGTCGGCCAGTTTCCACTGGAAACGCCTTTTGGTTAAACTGTCAGACAGGAATTTGCACTGTTACATGTTTATATAACTTTAATGCAGATAAAAAACAGCTGCTTGTTTAAGTGAAAATACATTGATAGGGCAAAAAAACCAACAAAGTTGTGGAGTTGTAAAGTATTTTGTCTAGTGTCAATTATATCGTCAGTTATATCGTTATCACAAATTTTCAAATGTATATCGTGATAAATATTTTTGGTCATATCGCCCTGCTCTACTGATTACTATATTTTTGTTTCACTTCACTAATCTCCTGCCATCCTGTGTACTACTCTGTTGGTATTTCAGGTGAAACCAGCCATTATTATGTACAAATCTTGCCACGCTAACCAGTTTGTTTTTGACACGATTGAATGAACTGACAAAAGACACCAAAGCAAAGCATAAAAAAGTGTCTAGCACAGGTGGAGATGTTTGGTGTGTGTGTGCAGGCATCCGTGGAGTACTCTTCCACTCTTACAATCTGAGCTCAATAGTTTAGTAAGTTCAGTCCATTTTTTGCAGTATTTATCAAATTTGTCCCTATTAAGTGTCCAAATCAAAACAACAGTCACCTCATGGCACTTTATACTGCGAGGGAAAGCCCCTACAAGAAAGTCCAATGATATGAGCTTATGAGCTAGCACTTGGCAACAGTGGGAACACTCTCCCCCTGCAACTAAGGCATGGGGTGTTAAGGGTCATGTGACTCAGCCCTAACTATATGCTTTATAAAAATGGAAAGTTTAAACCTAATCTTAAATGCAGAGAAAGTGTCCGTCTCACTAATCCAAACTTGGAGCTGAAGAGGGGCCTAAAGGCTGAAGGTGCTACCTCATCCTACTTTTAAATATCCTCGGAGGCACTGAGTGAAGTACTTGTTTGGAGTAACATGGTACTTTCAGGTCTTTACAATAAGATGGACCACGATTAGCCAAGATCTTATATGCATGGAGATAAAGATCATTTTTTCTATGTGGAAAACATCAGCATCACATTACATCATTCTTACATGGACGGACTATGAAGTGATCAGTTGCCACAGGATTCCCAGAGCATTCCCTTGGGTATGTATCCTACTCGAAGTGGTGATGTGATGAAGTATCTTTTGTCTCCATGATGAACCAAATAATGCTACAAATCTACCTTCACTTTCCAATTTTTATACAATGCTTACTGCAGTTGGTCTCTTGAAGGCACCAAACACCGTTTTAAATATACCAGATCCATAAAACCCCTCCCCACACAGGTTCCTTAGTGACCTCCTCACCTGTCATAACATTTCCCATGAAGCAGAGACTTGGCGTAGCTGTCCAAGTTCCCCTCTGGGTCATCTCCCCTCATGCCTTGCTCCTCGTCATCCAAGGTTACAAAGAAGGCCGCCCTCTCAATGGTATCCAGCGATCTCTTGTTGACCCCAGAGCTGAAGTACTGCTTCCTCATCTGAGCCCAAGGGATTCTGGGAGGAGATGACATGTATATATTATAAATCATTGCTTTGCTCACGGGTCTGTACTCACAGTCAGCAAGTCTTTTTGCACAATTGTCCTAAAACAAAGTACTAAAAGAGCCTCGGAAGTGGAGAAAGTTCACAGAAGGCTCAACTCAGCGGAAACTGCAGACGCTCCATAACAATCATGAGAAAACGTACTTCACTAAACACTGCATCCTTCTCAAGTACTTAGTCCACTCTAAGATAACTTAAGACAATCTGAAAACTCACAAAACATCAAACTATTGTTCCCATCAAGCAGACTGAAGCTTCCAACAAAGTTTCCACACAGTCAAAGACATCAGCATGTGCTGCAAATGTCAAAATCAGATGACAGTTCTTGGACAAAAGCCCAGTGATGTTTTCTAAGATCTCGTACTGTGTCCGATTTGCTGGTCGGCTCACTGCTTTAGTAATACACACAGCTTGACGGAAGGGCCATTAATGCAAAGGCTCATTGGACTGTTCCTGCTAAGCACGTTGGTGGCACTTTTCACACTTTGTTTGCTTTAAGCCGTGCATAATGTGCAGGCAGCACAATATCCAGACTGTAGTTCTGATGTCATTTCCATCTTTTTGTAAATTATGCACAATACTGATCATACCAGAAAACAAACCAGCACGAGACTAGTAACAGGATGGGAGCGCCTGCTAAAGACACCCAGTCTTAAACAGATTTAACATACACAACAATATTTAGCTTTAATCACAACAGGGAATCCTGAAGAGAGGGAGACGTGCATATATGCCAAGTCTTAATGGCCTTTGGAGAAAAGCGCAATTGAAAGTTAAATCATGTGAGCTTATCAAAGAAAATCAGTATGCATAGATTTCTATCAGTGAGGGCATTAAGAAACAACACACTGACATGTGGGTGTTTCGTGTGGTTTTTTTTCCACATGTCAAAGGCAAACAGTTCACCAGCACACTTATTTCTCATGATTGCCAGCACAAACACACGTAGGCTATGACTGAACAAAGGCACATGTCCTCATTTCCTTCACAATCATGAGTTGGGTTTGCCAAAATTCAGCATCCTATCACAACACCATGTCTCATAGGATCCTAACAATCCATTTGCTGATACACGTTAGTTTTTGCACTCTCTCCTTCTTGTTTTTGTTTTTGTTATGCTTCTACATCTTAGGAAAACAATCTAGACGTGTGTACAACAGACAGTACAAATACAAACATGCATAAACTTGAAGAGCTGATCCCTACATTTCTTTTCTTCATCGGTTCTTCTAGCCAAAATTTATTTACACTTACTGTTCACATGATTAATTTCCACTGTTTTGCTTTCAATCATTTCAGTGAAGCCAACCCAAACTTTTCCCCTAGGTTTTGAGGAATTAAGAGAGCAGAGTTAGAAACCTTCACACTCAACTAAAGAGGCCCACAGCCAGGAAAACGAGCAGGTGGCTGAATATCCCACTTCTTTGCTTTAATAAACCCCTGGCTTGCTTTGGCTGTATGCTTTGGCTCACTGTCCATCTGTATGATGAAACACCATCTAATCAATTTGACTGCTTTTAACTGGATTTGAGCAGAGAGTCTCCGAACACCTCAAAATTCATGAATGCCAGTGGCAGCCGTGCAAGCCCAAACCATCACGCAGTTTTATAGATGATGCGGTGTGCTTTGGAGTTTTCCAATCTATTCTTGAGGCTTTACTTTCATGCAGTCTTCTCTTTATGGTAGACTCGGATATCGATTACACATGAAAAAAACTACAGTAAAATAATCACATCGTGATGCCTCTGCCTTTGTAAATGGAGGGACAGTAACTGTGTGTAAAACCTGCAGACAGTCAGAGTAACAGTATTTTGTCTCTATCTACCATTCTGCAATTCATCTCATGTAAACAATAACGTGGCCACAGCGTGACGTGAAAAAGGCTCATACCTTTGACGTTGCATGACCAACTCTGTATTCCTCATCCACACGGAAACGCAAAAAAGGAGTTTAAAAAAATCTCAGTTTTCGGTGATTCCAAACGCCATTTACGTGGACGAAACAGCTGCGTTTTCAAAAATCCCCATGTAGGTGCGGACGCAGCGTAAAAGGGTTTATTTTATTACTACCTGTAATTTACTGCAGATTACTTGTATTTGCTTAATTGTTTACTAAATGTTTGAGGTGTTAAATAAACCGCAATGGAGCAAAATATGGGCGTGTGTGGTTGGAGGATGCGTGCGTGCGTGTGCACGTGCGAGAAGGGGGGGGGGGCGCAAACATTTTTCTTGTAAAACAAGGGGGCCCAGCAAAAAAGTTTGGGAACCACTGGTATAACTAATCATATGTATCAGTAAAGAGCTCTGATTAGCATATTATGGTGCCATCCAGTGGTCGCGCTGTAGCTGCCTCTGAGCAACCTGCTAAATATAAAGACAGCAGGTTCAAACAGCTTTATACAAACTGGCTGCGTTTCAGTAAAGAAATAAAAAAAAATGTAATTATTTTATTTTAATGAAAGAAAATAGTTTATTTTAACCTTAAAAGGTTTATTCAGTTTTAAAGAACCTCTTATCAATAAACCTTAAATACAGACTAGAACCTGTTCATATTTCTCCCAAATATTTCAGTTAGTCAAGTTAGAAAATGTATCAAAATTGCCTACTATAGCCTGTATATAAAAAGGGATAAAAAGGCATGTGACGTCACCCGCTTTCCCCCCGACATTTAGAAAATTCAAACAGCAGCACACTGTGCCATGTCAAATTTTTGGAGCCAGTTGTAAGCATATCAGGATGATAGGGGGCTGCCACTTTGTACGCACCTGTCTCCAGCAGTGAGAGCTCCCAGCTTCTCCTCTCCAGGAAGCGGGGGTGAAGCGTCATCCAGGATTCTCTGGATCTGGTCTTCAATCTCCCTGGGGGACAGCAGGCGGCCTGCCCGGTACACCCACAGGCGAAAATAGCGCCCCCTGTGGTACACTGCTACAAACTCGCTGTCTAGCCAGTGCTGGAGCACATCTGTGAAAAAGAGTAGGGCCGTGCCAAATTATACAGTCTGCAACAACAATAAGATATAACCATGAGATGTGTTCACATTGCCTAAAGTGTGTAAAAAGACAAGCCCGGGCATGTCTGAGTGTAAGAGCGCATCAGCCTCCGATGATAATTTAGTACCTGATAATGAACTTCAATAATGCTACTTCAATACCCTCATATCCTGAATATCCGGCTTCAGGTAATAGAAATAAAATGGGCATATAATAGAAGAATAGCAATTAATAGAATTTAGCAGAGAAACAGCTTCCCTTATTAAAGACACTGAGCGAGAGAAATACAACTGCAACAATCAAAGTGCATGTTTATGTGCTGCATCTACTCTGAGTATGTGTGTTTGGTACCAGTCTCGACTCCTGGTGTGCGCGTTGTGTTGAACATCCTCTCACACTGAGCAGCACACAGGGGGATGACGGTACCCGGAACGCGGCTCTACAGCACAAAGACACAAACACACTGGCTATTTTCCATTTGTTTTAGATGGACATTAGACCCTTAGATAACACAACCCATTCTTATTTGAATCAATGGAAATCAGCAGCCACACAACAGCCACTGACCACTAAATACAGCCTACACAGATGGCTGCACCCTTCCGTTGCTCTCGCTTTAAAGGGGAGCTGTAAAAAAGCAAGGTGGGTAGTAGACAGACGCACATCAAAGGTTCTGCAGTACCTCAGGAAACAAGAGTCACTGCCAGAATAAACTGACTATCAAAGGCATGTGCACCCATATTACACAATGGGCTGTGGACTACCTTCCAAAATTAATGATAAGTTTAGGACTTTTACCTCTCAACATTACACCTTCCCGCAGGAAAGCACCTTAATGGATAACTTTAACCCTTTAAGACCCACCATAGAACCAAGTCTGCCAGAGCATATCGTTATATTTTTACATGTAAACTGATCTCCTGCTATTTTAAAGTGGAGGTTAGTATAGTCATACACTGGTGCCCTTCCATCCACAGGAAACAACTCACTTTTATATAGGTTGAGCTTGTATCCTGAAAACTGACCAAATTGGTGAAATTCAATTCAATTTTATTAACAATTCAATCAGAGAACAGATGGGTTTGGCTGTTGGAGGGGTGCTTTACTGAGCTGTAGGTCCTAAAAGAATAAATGCCTTTTTACATGCCAGCCCAGCAATTTCCTTCATCACCACGAAGGAAAAGAAGTCTGTGTGTGTCCGAGTTCGGTTATGTTTTGTGTCACAGGTTAACCTGCTTATACAGAGACCCCCAGTATGGGCTACTCCAGAGCCTTTTCAACAGAGATAGAAACGACAGGGAGCAGGCACATCTAGTACACGTAGAGGTGCCGCAAAACCCCACAGAGCTCAGCAGCCAGCGCAACAAATTCTGGATCCTTGGCTTTTAGTTAGCAGTTAGCAGCTGTTTCTGCTGTGAAGGGGCCTTTATGTTTTTTGTGTGTTTGTTTTATTTTGTTCTGCTTTGTCCTGTTGTACTTGCAATGGCGTTTTTTGTTTCTGTTTCTTGTTTTTGTACTTGTCCTGAGGGATAGGGCTACTATGTGGTACGGGTAGGGGGGTAAACTGCTTAACGCAATTACAAGATATGTGAGTGTGTCATTATTCTGTTATTTCTGTTCCTTCCTATCCCACGCAAAGCCACCTGGGTTGGCTGGAAGACTGTTTACTTAGCCTGGCTGGGCCAAGGACACTCTCTCAGCTAAACTCAGGATACACACTAGCGTGCGCTGTCTACACCGGCTCTCCCTCACCCTTTACTCACCCCTGTTGCTTATCTTGTGTGTCTGTGGTGTACTGACAGTCATGTGCTTTTTGTGCTGGGGTGTTTTTTTCTGTTCTCAAACTGTTCTCCCATTAGGAGCTCAGTCTGAGTGGATGTTTTTCCCCTCCTCTCACCTCATGTTGTGTATTTTCGTTGTTTTTTTCCCCACCAGTCTCTCTCTCTGACATGTCTCCCTAATGTAATGTTTGTGTAAAGTATGTTTGGTCATAGGGTTTCTTTGCATGTGCCGTTTAGCATGCTGCCTGCTGTAACCCATAATTTCCTTCGGGATTAAAGTATTTCTGATTCTGATTCAGTTCAAACAGTCATTGTGAAACCTACTTGTTTGTTGTTTAACAATTCTGTGTGCATCTGTTTTTCTTTGTTACTTCAATTTAATAAAAATATCTTTGAGAAAAAAAACTTGACTTTTATTCTGATCAGTCCAATTACATCTGAGACCATGAGTTTAAAAGCAATGCCACAATATTAATGGAATATTTCCATTGAATCCCTCTGTATTAAAACTGAATCTGAACTTTGAATACATTCTGGTCAACATAATAAAACAGGAGCTCATCATTTCAGCCTGAGAGACACCGACCTTTTTAAGATTACTGATGCAAACTTCTGACAGTGATAGGTATCATCAGAAATGTTATTTTTATTAATTTTAAAAACAAACAGCGCAACAGACGCAAACCCACTCCATCGCATTATTTTTCCAATCTGCAGAAATGTGTGCAGCCTCACCGGCTTCAGTTCCTCCCGGTTCACCTTGCGGCGGTAGAGCAGCAGGGCAGTGATCGTGTTCCCTGCCCTGGCCGCCTGCACTGAGGTTGGTGTCACGTACAGAAAATCCTGGAAGGACCACACAAGGGATAGATTTTAAAAAAAGACAACTATCAGAAGATTTTTGATTTAGAACCAGAGGAAGGAGAATGAAATGTTGGATGATTCCCTCGTCTCTCTAAAAACACAGCCAACAAGATAAGGCTAAAAGGTTGAGCTGGACTGACAGGAGGCTCAGGTTTAAAAATGACAACAGGATATGAGGTGTAGATTTAAGCAAGTAAAGACGGGTAAAGAAAATAAAACATTCTGACTTTAATATAACTCCTAACCTTAGCTCAGAATGTAAACATGTAATTGTATAAAGAAGCAGTGGTTACCATTCCATAGTAGTTACTGTTGACCATAATGGGACCTCGGCTCCTTAAATAGACGTATTCCTCCCACCAGTCACTCACCTAGAGCCAAAACAGGAATCTAAAGTCTTTGTTCTTTTCAAACCAGGAGCACAAAGCATGAGGATTAAAATTTGCAAAATGTATTGCTTTACAGTTGCAAGCTTTATAAGAAAACTTGCAAATAAAAAGGGATAAATTACATTATGCATCCGCTGTGTCAGTAAGGGCACACTGACCGTGCACCACAGAGCAGTGACTCAAACCTGTAACAGTCAAACTCAGCACCCGAACAAGACGCAGCTCCTCAAGTTTAAAAAGTTCAAACACCAGGACGTGAGGACGTATTGTAGTAATAACAGAGGTCGTGACGATTTACAAGGAGGACAACAACAACAATTTGCTTTTTAAATAAGTACTGCGTCACTTCTGTCCGTTGTCACTCACAGATTACAGAGCTGGCAAAAGAACGTTTACTCAAGTAAAAGTTTACTGTGCCCAAGCGTTTGAAGTACTTTCATTAATAAAAATGCAAATACTGAACTTATGCGTTACAGTTCTCCCTCGCTATATCGCGGTTCACCTTTCGCAGATTTAAAAAAAAAAAAAATTATTTATTTATTTATTTTTTTAAATACAGCACATTGTGTTCTGCGTCCTGATTGGCTGTAGATCATTGTCAAACAATCTCGTGCCATGTTTCCTGTACAGTAAAGAATGCATTCAGCTTGTTAAATGTACATAAATCTTGGATCGCCAGCAGTGTGACTCTAAGTGCAGTACTGTATGTTTATAAGCTTTCTCCCCAACAAACACAACAATGTTGATGAAACGTTGCCACCTGCGTGGTTTGAACTTTGAGAGTTTAAACAAGAGAGAAAAGTGTGAAAGTGTATAAAGTGTGTAGTGAGGGGTTTACAGCCTTAAAACATCTATAATAATTGTAAAAAATAAAGTTGGCTACTTCGCAGATTTCACCTATCGTGGGTTATTTTTAAAACATAACCCCGGTGATGAATGAGGGACCGCTGTATATGCTTTAAATAATCATTAAGAAGATGCTATACTTTTCTGCACTACCAGGCGAGCACAGGAAACATTTGTGGCACCTTCACATTAATATGAAGGCTGTGAAGCGACTCACTGTGAGTGACACAAAGTGTTTGTCAAAACTGCAGCAGAACCACCACAAACACATTTAACTCATTCAAAGCTCAGAGCCGGAAGCTTCAGGATCAAAGCAGCTAAATGATGGGCATGTCCTGTGACCTGATGAAGCTGTTAACAACCTGGAGAAATGATGAAAATAACCGACATTTGTGTTGTTATATAAACCTGCTGCACCTGCTCTGGCAAGGTTAAAAAAAAAAAAAGCAGCCATGCACAAATTCATTTTCATGAAATTATTGGGGAAATTGTAAAGTTTAGTAATTTGTTTAATTATAAAAATGATATTATGCACTGAAGAAAATTGGTTTTTGTTTGTATACAGAGTCAATTCATTTAGTTTGGACAAAGGTCAGCGTGTGTTGCCCTTGAGCATGAGTAACTCAGGGTTAGTCAATGACCCATACACCCTCCTGTACCCCTCGCTGTCAGCTGCACTGGGTGTACTTCCTGCTGAATACCTACATAGTTGGTGGCCCACAGAGCTTTAAGTTTCAGGTAGCGTTGGAGGCGGTTCCCCAGATTCGACTCAAACTCATTGGCCAGGTCTGACATGCGTTTAAACTCCGGGTCCGTCAGCAGAGGGCGCACCGACTCCAAGTACTGATAACAGCAAACATTCAGGCAGCGTTAATCTGATTCTTGAACACAAGATGATAAGGATAAGGATGGGGAGAGAAAACAAAATGTGCCACCATGTGTTCAGGTGTATGTTCACACTCACCCTGCTCACGGTGTCTTGGATGGCTGGAACGGGGAGGTGAGGTAGAGACGACTGATAGCTGTACAGCAAAGGCTTCCTGCTTGACAGCAACCTCACCAGAGGCTGAAAGAAACGGAGGTCAAAGAGGGGAGACAGTTTTAGACGGTCATTACAGACAGCGTGCTTTCAATAAGAAAATGTAATCTTATCCCTAAAAGAGATTTTCTACCTTTTACAACAAAAACCCTCAGTCTTTGACTATTAGAGAGGGCTAGGTGCGATCTTTATCACAGGAGGAGGTTTATGACAATGAAAATAAAGTTTCTTTAAAGTAAAGCTCCCTTTCAAAGTTCTCTTCCAGCTAGGAGGCAGATACTGCTCCGATCCAAGACTGAAAAACTGGAGCTGTTTATTTAATAATCATGATTTTCAAAACCAGACTCCATGGACCAATCCTCCAAGATCAGATGAACATTCCTACTTCCAAGCAAAACTCACGCTTAAGTGAGTATTAAGTGTTGCTGTAAATCATCACCAGCAGTAGTTGAATTTTTTCTCCCAGTCAGGGCTCTGCAGGCTTGACAGTGTGTGCTGCCATCTACTGTAGATAACAGACGAGCTCAGAAGCTCGAACAAGCCCCACTTAAAAGGAATTAAACTACAAGAATGAGGCAAAGCAAACAATCCAGTGAGACTGTTACTCTTTCAAATCAGAGAAACATGTTTAAAACAGCTTTACATCATTTCATGTTTGCAGCATTTTTGGACGTGTTATGTGCTTCAAAAGAAAAAACCCACACAACACTATAACATGGAACCATTCAGCCTAAAAATAATCAATGTGCTTTTGGTTCATGTTATCCAACATAAATATTACACTCAGTCCAGGAAAAAATTTATGCAATAACTCCTCGAGTCCAACACACGCACACAGCAGCCTCTGGAGGAAGCTGTGGGACTGAGCAGGAACGTGGCTTACCACCCAGACTTTGGTGGTGTTAGACATCCGGCCGTGCTTTTCAAACATCCACTGGTGGTAGGACAGCAGCAGTTTGAGGCAGAACCTGAGGGCGAGGATGAGGGAGAGCCACAGCAGAGTGCTGAAGACCAGCGCCGACACCATAGTCTGGCCCTGGGCACTGAGGGACATGTGGAGACTGCACAGAGGGAGTGAGATCGCTTTAATGATGCGAGCAGCTACAAGGAAACTTTTTCAATACACAATAAATAATACAATCTTCAGGAAACTGGGAGGAACAGTCTTGATAAATGACCTTTTTAAGAGATTTCCCGTTGCTCTGTTTGTTACTTTAACAAAGCAATGGGACATCTCCCATATCTGATAAAATAACTAAAAAAGACAATTTTTGTAATTTTGCCTCTACACACCACCATGGTAATTTACAGCCATATTTATCGGCAACACTCAGAGTCCAGCCCAGAGAGGCTCAGATATAACCAGACAACTGCCTGGTAATCAGTTTCAAATGTGAGGTAATAAGCAGTATTATCTGATTACAGCTACACTAAACACCGATCGGAAGTATTTTTATCTACAGCTAAGAACTGATGCAAAAATAGACTTCAGTGTTAGTGACCAAGACAGCAGCTTTTAGATTCCAGTGGCTCCAAAAACTGCTGCCTTTGACAGGTTAACACAAAATTATAGAATAAATAAATAAATCTGTTCTTGAAAAATGCAGTTCTCCCCGAATAATCTGTTACTTTAGCAAAACTGAGAAAGTGTGCATTTCACTCACATAGCTCATGTTTAATCTCATCGTGAGGCTTCTGACAGTATAAAAATACAACAGCAACACCTAGTGGGCCACTGAGGAAGTGAACTGTGCATAGTATTAAAAACAATAAGATGTTAGGATATTAGATGTTATGATATTAGATTGCATTTAAAAAGTAATAAACTCATAATGAAGGCAACAAGCATGGGCAGTTCAGTTTGTTTTTCTGTAGTCTAGTACTGCACTAGTACAGCTTGGTAATCAGGAAAGTGAGTTTTGACTCTCCTGGGAAACCTCGGTTCCTAGCGTTCAGGTGGATGTAACTGAGACTAGGGCTGGGCCATATTATACCGTTCACGGTAATACCGGTATAATGTTAGGCAA